GGGAGGCAGAGCACCCGGCCCGAGCAGAGCGGGGAGGAGGCTGGGCAGACCAAGGCCTGGCCAGGGCCCCGGGGTCCACCGGAGGGGAAGTGGGTCCCTGCTAACTAGCGGGAGGGAACAGGGACAGACTTGGCGGGTATTTGAAGCGTCTGTCACACGCCCCCAGTAAAAACAAGTGAAAAGGTCAGCGGGCCTGGGCGGGGCCAGGGGAGGTCCCCACAGGGCTTGTACCCAGGTCCTGGGAGCCAGCAAGGGGCAAGGGGACCCTGGACAGGCCAGGGTCAGTGCACTCATCCCCTAGGAATGGGGGGCAGTGCGGGCCAGGGGCAGGGAGGGAGGGACGGGCCAGAGGCCGCGTGGGAGCAGGGCCTGGAGCTCAGGGGCATCTCCATGACATGGGCTCGGGCAGGTTGGCCAGCGGGTGGCCAGTCCTTGTGGGCTGGGGATGCTGGGTAGGGGGTGCTCAGCCCAGGTCACGGCCAAAGCCAGCGGACCGAGCCAGCGCCTGCAGGTCAAGTGTGACCGTGACGGTCAGGGTGTGGTCTGAGACCAGATGGCAGCTGAGACCAGGGGGAAGGGCTGGACGGGCAGCGGGAAGAGCTGCTGGGGGGGAGAAGGGTGGACTCGAGGGCGCTGCAGGGGAGCCCCGGGGGACTGCGGGCCACCCCGCTCGCGGACCCTCCTCCACGCGGGGTCAGGTGGGGTCTGTGGGGCGGCTGGCTCACAGGGAAGAGGTCACGGCCGCGGACTGAAGGGTTTCTGTGACCTGAGGTCCAGGTCTGTCTTCCAGTTTCAAAACCAATTCAGACATTTTGTGGGTCCTTGTGCCCTGGGGTGTGTAYGGGGGTGCAGCTGGGGACACGAGGGCTGCTGAGCCCCTTCTGGAGGTGGGGGGCCGCTGGACCTGCCAGAGCCACACTCTGTTCCTGTGAGGGGACCTGTGTGGACCCCGCTGTGACCAACCTGACACAGAACGTGCGGCTGCCACTCTGGCCACCACCCGGCTGGTCGAGGGCCCTGCCCACGCCTGGGAGCTGCCCTCAGGGGGCTGTCCTTGCTGTGGGCTCCGCCAGGGGACGTGTAGCAGGGTCATGGCAGCGGGGGGCGCTGCGGATTCACAGGACGCCCACAGCCAGGACCGCCGGCCTCGGTGCCACCCAGGCCACGCACGTGTGCAAGCCGGGAGGCGGGTTCTGGAAGGTGCGGTGCCACCACTTGTAGTGCATGTCACCTGCTGTCCCCAAGCCTCGGGTTTCCCCCGAGTGGTGGGGAGGGAGCCCAGGGCTCGGTCAGGCCAGCACCGAGAAGGAGGGGGACACGCAGAGCGCCCGGAGCCCAGGCCCAGCCCTCACCCGCCAGCTCAGGGCCCTGGGGGGGCTTGTCGCTCGCTCTGTCCCCGAGTCCTTCATGGCCATCAGCCAGGGGCAGTCTCAAGCCACCTGGCCCCTCGCTCCCCTGAGGACAGTGTCGGGAGGATCCCCTGCCCCCGGCTCCCACGTGACCTCAGTCCCTCCTGCGGCCAGAGACCAGCACAGGGCTCGGGAGTCCCCAGAGCCCCTTCTCCCAGGTCCCCACGCCTCCCTGCCCACCCTCAGCCCCCAGCTGCCCCACACACTCTGCCCTGAGAGTTGCTGGCCTCCCAGGTGACCCCCGGCCAGCCCCCGTGATGGTCCGTGGTGGGGCCTCTGGTGTGTCACAGGAGCCAGGTGTCCTTCTACCTCACAGGGCCCTGGTGGCCTCCGCTGGATGGAGATGATGTTCGGAGGCTTATTTTTTTTAAAGAGGAAACGTCCTGTAGTGAGAGGTCACCAAGTCCCCCCGGGGACTCACCGTGCCACTGCAGACGACTTAATCAACCTYGCTGCTTTCTTCATTAACGATTCTTTTCTAATTCCGAGGGCCTGTGTCCACTGTGGGACATTCGCCAGGCATTGTCTGTCTCAAAAATAAAACGGAGGCCACTTCACGTACAGTTCCTATCTCTCTGTTTTTGATCCTGGGGATCGAACCCACGGTGCTTAGGCCCGGAGCCCCAGCCCCAGCCCTTTTTAAGAGTCTCACTGAGTTACGTAGGGCCTCACTAAGCTGCTGAGACTGGCCTTGACTCACGATCCTCCTGCCCCAGCCTCCGGGTCCCTGGGGTCACAGGTGTGCCACCAGGCGGGCGCACGTCTTGCCACTCAGCTCCACATCTCAGTTTGACCGGTTCCTGGTTCCTGCAGTTCCACCGCGTCCTCCAGGTTGTCTTCCTGAGAGGGACCCGAATCCATTCCACTTCAGGGCCGGGCTGTGGTCATCTAACCGTGACCTTGCCCTTCACGTTTGTGGTTGTCCCAGTCCTTGTCTGTGAAGTGGGTGTAGTGACTCTGACACCCAGGCGAGGACCTGCTGTCCACTCACATGACTGCCCCTTGAGCCCACAGGCCTTGAGGGTGGAAGGTCAGGCGTGGGGTCAGCAGGGCCTCCTGGACGGGAAGGGGCGGGGCTGACATCAGGAGGTGCCATGGACCTGCAGTGCTGGGACCCTGGACCTGGGAACCGCGCTCCCCAGGGAGCCGCTCAACCCTTAGCCTGAAGCCAGAGCCGCCGCCCACAAGCTCTGGGCTGCCTGCAGAGCGCCCGGGTCCCCTCCTGGCTGCAGCCATACTGTCAGGTGGCTCCGGAGGGCAGTCCAGCAGGGGGCCAGGAGTGGGCCAGGACGGGGACTGCCACCCAGGCAGGCTCCCTGCTCGGCTTTGTCCTGAGGTCCTTTACTTAGGCACTCTACAGGGGGACCACGGGGGGCCACGCAGACAGTCTAAGTGAAGGTCACCCTGAAGGCACCCCCAAAACACACCACCTCGTCAAACTCAGGGTCCCCTCTGCCTGCGGCGGCCCTGCTCTGCCCTGGGGGCTGTGCTGGGGCAGAAAGGGCGGCCTGGGGAGGGAGGAGGGGAGGGGGGACGACGGACGCAGTGGCTGGGGTCTCCTGCAGCGTCCCCATGGTGTCTGAGGACCACCCCTCCCTGGGATTGAGTGTCCTGCCGGGGGCACCCTGAGCTCCAGGCTGACCCACCATTTTGCAGGCAGGAAGCAGAGGCCCGGGGGAGGGCACTTGTCCAAGGTCACATGGAGCTGGAACAGTCCCCTAATGCCATCAGACCTCCCTGGGGCATGAACCTGGCTGTGGGGGGCAGGCTCCCCTCTGGAGGTCGGGAAAGATCCCCTGAGCGTGCTGGGAGGCGGCTGGCCCCACATCCCTGCAGGACTTTCCCATGTGGCCGGGGGGTGGGAGGTGACATCCGATGACGGCCTTGTGAGTGGGCGCTGCTAGCAGAGTGGGCTGGCAGGTCAGGAGCCGAGGGCAAGCACCCCCTCAGACCAGCGGGGACTTGGGCGTCCCAGCGTCCTTAAAGACCTCGTCTGCCGGCTGCGGAGACACCACTTGGCCAGAGGCAGTGGCCCCAGGGCAGTGCCCCTGGCCTGCCGCAAGGTCAGCGAGCAGGGCCCACAGCGGTCGGTACCAGTCGCGGCTCATCAAGACCTACCTGGGCCGGGGGGTGCAGGGTCTGCTGAGCAGGCAGAAGGGCTCAAAGGGCACTGTCACCAAAGCCAGAGGGTGTGGGAGGCCTGTCCTGCCCCGTCCGGGTGCTGTTCCCCAGGCCCCGGCTGCAGCCGTGTCCCGCAGACAGACCGGGTGCTGGCAGTCCCTGGCAAGGCCCCTCTCCACCCGAGCCTTCGCACACCCTGTTCCTCCCCCACACGCTCTGCCACCCTCCTCCCTCTGTACCAGGACTCGCTCCTCGTTTGGCAGACGGAGATGTCCCTCCCCCGGGGTCCACTATCCCCGTTCTTCCCTGGGCTGAGCGAGGCATCTTGTTGTCACCGTTTAGATGGGAGCTGTCCCCCTGAGGCTCACAGTGACCCAGTGCCAGGTCTGGAGGATAAGTCACTGGACTGTGACAGTCTCAGCCCCACAGTGGTTAGTCCCTGATGGCATTAGCTGGCTGGTCACTGGAGGGCGGGGTGGGGCTGGAGGAGGAGGGAGTTGGGGGCCCCTGGCGAGTGGAGTCTCCACTTCTCACTCCCCCCACCATGACGTCCTGCCGCACCTCGGGCCCAGGCATGGGCCGGCCTTCTGTGGACTGAGACCTCTGAAACCCTGAGCCCTAATTGAACCCTTCCTCCCTGCAGTGGGCTTGGTCGGTCATTTAGTCACAGCAGTAAGGAAGCTACCGGAACACTGTCTTTGCCCCCTTGGGCCTCTGCATGTCCCCACTAGGGCACAAGCTCACCCGGGTGCTCACTGCCACCCGCCAGCCGTCTTCCCCGGGACCCGTCCACAGCCGTACACCCAGGGCTGCATCCAGCAGGCAGTCAGTAGGTGCACGCTGAGGGGGTCCTGCCCCAAGCCCTGCACAGGACAGACGGAGTCCCAGCTGCACAGCTGAGATCCCTGCCAGGGACACAGGCAGCCCCAGACAGAAGCAGGACGGGGCCCACAGGGAGGTCATTCTAGGGCCAGTGTGGCAGAGGGCAAGGGCCTGGAGAGGGCTCTGGCGGGCACAGGCGCTGGCCCTGCGGGGAGGAACCGTCTAGGTTCTCCCAGCTCTTCCTCTGGGGACCCAGGCTGGCCATGCGTGTGGCCTGGTCCTGCCCAGGCCAGGTGGGGGTGGGACGGCAGGCTCCCTGCCTGCTCTGGTGCAGACAGCCAGGTCCAGAGCGGCCAGCGAGGGCCGCCGTCCCTCCCACACGCAGTCGCACCCCGTCCGGGCTGCTCTGCCATTCCCTTTCATTGCTCCACCAAAGGGCTATTTTGGAAACTCCTCTGAGCAGACCAGGCCTGGCTGGCACTAAGAAGAGCCTAAGTGAGGGACTCGGGCACAGGAGCCACCCAGCCCCGGAGCCCACGGTGCTAAATTTAGAAGCGTCACCTCTCTGGGAGGTGAAATTGCAGGCTGCCTGTGGGGTGGGCGGCGGGACGGGCCGCGGTCAGCACTGAGCGGCTCAGATTCCGTGGAAGTGGGTCCTGCTTCCTGCTGCCACACCTTGGGGCAGAGGCCCGGGACGGTCCCAGGGCCCGGGGAGCAGCCGCCCAGTGAGACGCCCTCCAGCTGGCCTACCTTGTCCAGAGACGTCCACCCGAGCGCGGGCCAGAGGGAGGCGAGAAGGACAGAGGGCGGGAGAGCCGTCCTGTCTCCACAAAAGGTTTGTGCCTCCCTCCTCTGCACAGGACCCAGCGGGCTCGTCCCTCGTGCCCTGCAGACTGCCGGCTGCTGGAGCCACCTGAGTGTCCCTCCCAGGACTCCCTAGACCTGCCACAACCCAGCAGCCACCAGGCAGAGGCGGCCACAGCAGGTGAGGCTGGCGTGGGGGAGGCCCCTGCCCTGCTGTGCCCCTGGGGCACAGGTGACCTCAGCCATCCTGTCCGGGTCCTGTTTCTCCAGCTGGCGGGACTGCGGCCGGCCAGGAGGGGGCGCTGCCGGCCCCACCGAGCAGCTCAGCGGGCGCTGGCCCCGGGGTGCGGGGACCTGGGCCCCTCACCTGCAGGGTGGGCGTGGCGTTCCCAGCCGCCATGGAGCGCCTCCGCCGTCCCAGTTTGGCAGGTCCCCTCACTCGCGGCTTCTGCCCTGGCCCCTGCAGGCCCCTCAGCCAGGGGGTGATGGAGCTCAGCTGGGCAGCAGCCACCCTGGCCTCGAAGGCCAGCTCCCGGCCCGGCCCTGGCATCTCCTGCCTGGGGGACGGCACAGAGCTGTCCTCCCGGGCAGCCCCAGTTTCTTGGTCTGCAGGGTGGGGACAGCAGCAGCTGCCCCGCTGGCCCGGGAGGCGGAAGGAGGCAGGCTGATGGAAGCCCCTGGGGTGGCGCCCGTAGGGCACTGGCTCAGAGGACAGCAGCAGGGGGACCCCACAGCCACGCGGCCACTGTCCTGAGGAAGCTTTGTCACCCCCACTCCACCGCACCCCGGAACGGCAGAGCCGAGCAGCTGGGCACCCGTCAGCTGGGACCCTGAGCCGCCCAGCACGGCTGCCAAGCCAGGACCGTCACTATCTGGCCCTTCCCAGGACCCTGGGCCCCTGCCTGGGTCTGGCACCAGTGACAATTACTAGGGCCGCCCCTGGGGCTGCGGGCCGTGACCAGGGGACRTGACCTCGGGCTTTGCGTCCTCATTCTCTGGTTCCATAAAGTCTTGCTGCAACTCTTGGGGGGCGGGGGTGGCTCAGGACCCGCTTGTTTAGGCCGGAGCTGGTGCCCCATCTAGCGGGAGCCACAGCGACTCACAAGGACAGTGACAGGGGACCTGGGGGCTGCGGGAGGCCGAGGGGCCTCTGAAACTGTGGAGAGCCGAGAGGTGTCCAGGAGGGCGTCCTGGGGGAGATGGGGCAGTGTCCAGGGGGCCAGCCCCGCTTGGCAGGGAGCTCCAGTGCAGAGCCAGCCTTGTAGAGAGGGCAGGTCCCCAGGAGGTCCCTGCCCTGGAGCCTCTGTCCCCTCTTATGGAAAAGAGGGTCACGTGGCCTCATGGTGCTGTGGTGGCAGCTCAGACCCTTGCACCTCATGTTGGTCCACGGGGGCCCCAGCTCGGCTGCCATCCACCTCTCACCTGAGCGGGAGCACCTGGCACTCACTTTTAGGAACCCACGGTGACCTGTAAGGTGATGACCAGCCGAGCAACAGCCCCGAGGCGTGTGTTGGCCAGTTTCCATGGCCTCGATATTCCTGCTCGGTGGAAGCCACCAACAGGATGTCACAGAATCCCTGAATGTTTGGCAGCCGATTCTGAGCTGGTACAAGCCCAGATGGGGCCAAGGTCCTCCTGGGCCAGAGTGTGGACCCCTGGCGCCAGGTGACCGTCAGCCTGCCTGCTCCGCACCAGCTCTGCCACTTCCTGCTGGGGTCCGGGGCTGGCTGAGTGGCCCCTCAGAGCCTCAGTCTCCTCTTCTGTTGAATGAGGCCAAGGACTTCTGTCCTGGGGGCGGGGAGGCGTCAGTTTAATAGGATAATTTGCACAAAGCATTTGGCACAGGGCTCAGTCACTCGGGTGCTCAGTACCAGGCGCCTGCAGGGCCCACCCGCTCCGCTGCCCTGGCTCCGGGCTGGGTGCTGTGCGGACACGGTCCCCTCCGCCGCAGGCTTGGGGAGGGCCGGGTCACCAGTCGCAGAGCCCACTGCTCCGGGCGGCCCCTAGGCGTGGTGGGCTCTGGGTGCCGTGCTCCAGGCTCTCCCAAGCCTCTGAGGACGTTTCCGTCCCCAGTTTGCAGCTGTGACCGTGGAGGCCCAGGCCCTGCGAGGGGCCCGGGGGGACTGCAGCCCACGTCCGGATTCTTGGTTTCCGAGGCCCCTAGCTGCCGTGCCCGGGGCTGTGGCCTGGGACGTGGTACCAGTGTGCCCTGGGGTGCAGATGGGGCCCGAGGCCCTGGCAGGGCTGACCGCACAGAACACAAGACTGGACACCGGCCACTGCGGTGCTCCAGGCAGAGGCCCCGCTAGCGCAGACCACGGAGGCAGGACTCAGTCGGTGGGTGGAGGGGGCTGGGACGCAGGAAGGAGGGCATGGCGGGGTGGGAGCCGTGGGAGCCGTGGGGTCCCTGAAATCCTCAAACTGACACCACCTTGGCTGAGGATCAAAGTATGAAATGGTAGCAGCAGAGATTTAGGTTAGATAGGAAGGAGAACTTTCCAACTGCCCATGCTAGAATATAATATACCAGCTAGAAGGACTGTGTCCCCAAGGGACGTGGGGTCAACCTAGAGGCGGTTTGAGAAAAAGAGAAGACAGAGTTCTGGGCTGGCCTCACTGCGCCCTAGGTCAGAGACGGGGCATGGGATGGGGACGGGGCGAGGGCCACGCAGCCCTGGGTGCGCACAGTCCCTGGATGGGGCTCGTCACCACCTRTCAGGAGTCTCCCATGGCTCCCAGCTACCCTTGCTCAGTTACAAGCCAGTCCCCTGGGCTCCCAGGTCTCAGCCTGCTCTGTGGTCTCCTCCCCCCTCAGGGCCTGGCCACTGGTGCTTCCTGTCACACGCGGCCCCTGGCGCTCCTGCTCCTGCTGCCCTGGCCCTGCTGCCCTTCCTTTCCCGCCTCCTCCCAGATGGACCCCAGCAGGGGCTCCCTAGCCTCGGAGGCGGGAGGGACAGGGCTAGGAGGCCCGCATCCTGGCTCAGAGCATCGCTGCGGGCAGCAGGGACCCGAGGGCAGAGTGCAGAGTCCTGGGCTCGAGGCCTGCTGCCCCCAGCCTCCACTAGCTCCTCTCCAGCCCCTCCCCAGGGCTGCTGTGCGGGCAGCACTCAGTGCCTGCCGCTGACCGTCCTGTCCTCTCCTTGCAGGTGACGGCCATGTCAGTGAGGGTGCGGTTCCTGAGCCCCGGGGACTCGGGGGCCGTGGGGGCCGTGGGCCGCAGCGCCTCCTTCGCGGGCTTCAGCAGTGCACAGAGCCGCAGGATCGCGTAAGCACCGCCCTGCCCGGGGGCCGCCTCCTCCCGCAGCAGTGTCCCTGCAGCTGGTCCTCATGGCCGACTTGCATGTGTGTGTGTGTGTGTGTGTGTGTGTGAGAGAGAGAGAGAGAGAGAGAGAGAGGGAGGGAGGGAGGGAGAGACGGTGCCGGAGAAACCTGTAATTTTCTTGAGACCCAAACAGTCATCATTCTAAATGCTCCGGAAGTCGGTCGGTCTGTCTGTTTCCCAGGCCAACCTGGCAGGTTGAAAATAGTCTCAGAGAGGTGAGTCCACGAGCCCAAGGTCACACAGCAAAATCCAGGACTTCGTCTCCTGGGGTGGGGTTAGGAAGGAATGCCCTTCCTGTTTGGTGGCCTGACAAAGGGGCCACCTACTCTGGCTCTGTGACCCAAGGCAAGTGACTTCACCTCTCTGAGCCTTGGCTTCCTCAACTGAAAAATGGGCGTCATGAGCATCCCTCCCTTAGGGGTTGTCACAGAGGTGTGACGAGGTGACCGTGGCAGTAGGTGTGTGGGGAGTGGCAGGGCCAGGCCTGGGGTCAGCGGGAGTGGGTGGCAGGTGGGGGCTGGGCCAGGCAGGCTGGGCCCGCGGTCCCTCTCACACTCTGCACTGAGTCCTGGGAGGAGGCTGTTTCTGGCCCTGGTGGCCCTGGCTGCTGACCGCTCCGGTCCCAGGCTGGGCACTGTGCACGCCCCTGAGAACCGGCACCAGCTCTCAGCCCCAGGGCCCTGGACCCCTACCGGGGAGGTGTGTTGGGCAGTGGCCAGTGAGTCCACAGCAGCCGGTCCCGGGTGCCCCCCGCCTGGACCGTCCCCACCCCCTTGCTGCCCGGCACCTCCCACAGCTGGGAGCAGGGCCCTGCCTGGCTCCAGTGGCTGTACCCCAGTGGCCAGGCCCCCAGCTCCCTCACTGCCCTGCTCCCTCCGAGGTGGGCCAGGGGCGGGAGGAGGACGGGGGCAGCTGGGGGTCCTGGGGAGCTGCGCCTCTGACCTCCGCAGCCAGGCTCGGGGCCACCGTGAGGAAGGCACACAGTAGGTGCGCGTACAAACCGGCCGGGGTGGAGGCTGCTTCTGGACTCAGCCATCTCTGAGCCGTCCCCCCTGGGGCTGCACCAGGTCCCCACGCGGCTCTGTACTCAGAGGGCTGTGCAGGCCACTGGTCCCCTGAGGCATGGAGGGGCCCTTGGTCTGGGAGAGGAAGGGTCTGCCTCCCGGGGCTGGCCTGTCCCAGCCGTAGCCGAGCCTGCCAGGGCCCTGCACTCCACGTGATGCCCGCTGTCCCCTCGTGGAGGCTGGGGGCCGCGTCTCACCTGCCTACAGCCTGCAGCTGCTCCTGCAGGGGACACCTGTCGCTGGGCCTTGGGCCTTGACTCCAGCTCCCGGAGAAGTGTCCTCAGGCCTGGTCAGGAGCTCTGCCACAAAGTGCCCAGGGTCCCCTGCCCTCTGGGTAGGGAGAGGACAGAGGTGACCCGACCCTGACACCCAGGCTCATGGGCCGTCAGACGGAGACCTGCAAAGTCTCTGCCCTGGTCTAGGCAGGTGGCCCTGGTGACTGTGGACCCCAGGCCCCGGTGGCACTCCCTGGCTCTCCTGTTCCGAGTCCGAGGGTGCTGGGCCTCTGAGTGGCCACTAGTGCCGAGCGCTGGTCCCAGGATGAGGAGCTGGCCGTGAGGACGCGGAGTGCGGCTGTCCTGGGTTTCCTGTCTGTCCGTCTCCCAGGGTCTGGTCCCTTGTTTCCCAGGCAACCCGACCGGCCGACACAGCTGCCCTGCCCAGGCCCTCCTCGTGGGAGCCGGTCAGGCCCTGGACCCTGGGCTGGAGAGGAGGCTCCACTCAGGGTGGGCCGATGCCTCCTTTGGTCCCACCTCCTACCCCCCCCCCCGCACCTTGAAAGCCCTTTGGCGAGAGTCGGGGATTTTATTCCATAGAGATTCACGGGGGAAGTGACATGGTGGCAGGATCTTATACTAAGGTGTGAATGGTTGCCACAGTGAGGCCTTTCCTTTCTCCAGCACGAGGCGGGGTGTGGGGAGGGACAGACAGGGAGATGCCGAGGCGGGGACTGGCTCTCCTTGATTGACAGGCAGGGCTGCCTCTTGCCCCTTCCTGCCCTTCTGCAGCTGGACTGTCCCTCCCCAGGCTGTCGGGCAGGTACACTGCCCCAAGCCAAAGCCCCGCGACGCGACGCCCTCTAACCCGGGGACCGGGCCTGTCGGCCTGGCTGGGGACAGCGGCCTGGTCTCCGGGGAGAGGAGCGGGAAGTGGACAGCTGGGGCTCGGGGCCACGGCCGTCAGGGGTCGCAGGTCGGTGCACTGGGAGCTCAGCCCAGAGGGCCTGTCCGCGAGGGCCGTGTGCCTGCGTCCTCAGCCCTGACACCCGCGCGACGGTCGGCTCAGGTCCTGGGTGGTCCCACCTGGAGCCTCGGCGGGTCCTGCCATCGCCCACGGGGGCCGGGGCAGGCGCCGTCCGACGGCCCATCTGGCTGCGGAGCGGCCCTGGCTGTGGGCAGCACCGGCCTGGGACGCCACCCGGCAGGAGGCCGCCCTGGGCTCACGTGCGCTGGGGACACTGGGCGGCACGTGCCCTCTGGGAGCCGGTCTGGCAGGCTGGGGGTGACTAATAGTCACTGAGCCCAGAGCGGGCCAAGCGCCCGCCCCCGGAGGCCTCTCCCCGCCGGGCTGCTCGTCACCTGGGCCAGATGCGCCCACTTCGCCGTCGGAGGCCACACGCGCACTGCCCTCCCTCCCGGCAGGCAGCCTCGCAGCGGCCTCCGTCCAGCAGCCTGGGCTCAGAGCCCGGGAAGGGACAGGGCTCTGCGGCCCGGCCACAGCGAGGGGTGGAGGCCTCCAGGGGGACGCGCAGGGCCTGGCCAGGGGACACGCCTGCCCGGGGCTGGGGAGCTCCGCGCCGCCCGCCCGCCTGGCCCCCCACCGCCCACACCAGCAGCTCCGGCCTCGGGGCCCCGACATGGCCACCCTGTGGAGGGCGCGTTCCAGGAGGTGGGTGCAGTGGCCTCGGGATGGCAGGGGAGGGGTGGCAGCCCTGAGGGGTCCCGGCTTCACGAAAGGTCACCTGGGAAGAAGCCCTCCCCTCCACCTGCCGTGGCCAGCACCCACCCTGCGCTAGGTCCCTTCGGAGGTGACTTTTGGACTTCACCTGGGCACACACGTGCCGCTCGCTCTCTGCCGAGCTTCCAGGCCCCTTACGGTCATTACCCCATGCAGCCCTCCAAGCAGCCCTGGCCCTGATCCCATGTCACAGATGAGAAGACTGAGGCCCAGAGAGGTTCCCTCGCTTACCCAAGGTCACACAGCGGGTCAGTGGCAGAGTGGGATACAGACCCCAGTGTTGGTCAGTCTTCACTTGTTAGCTCTTCCCTGGGTCTCCCCAGCTGGCCCCTCAGCTCATGGGGAGGGCTTTGTCTGATTTGGTCACGGCTCTGCCCCTAGCGTGGTGGCTGGCATGTAGTAGGTGCTTCGTGAACGTCTGCGGAGTGAAGGAGTATCTTGAGGCGATTCCACGGAGCAGGACCTTTCGCCCCCCGGAAGGATGAGGAAGTGGAGGCTGTGGCAGACGAAGCGTCCAGCTTGAACCCGGTGGCCACCCCAGAGCCTGCGTCTCTGACCAGCCGGTGGCCTGGGCTCGCAGCCTGGCGAGGCCCTGGTCCCCAGCGTGAGGCTGAGGCTGCATGCAGCTCGGCCGGGACCCGGGCTCAGCGCTGGCCGGCGGCGTGCTGGGCAGGCAGAGGAGGGGGCGGGGTGGAATGCCCAGCATCTGGCCCAGCTGGAAATACAGCTGGCCACCCTCCGAGCTTCTTGGGGACCAGGGTGGGGCGTGGCCTGGCGGCTGTGCCTGGCTCAGACGGGAACCTCAGGCTCCCGGGGACTGCGGGCCTTGGGGCGGGCCCGGGGCGCGGGGGTCTGTAGGTGACGCTTGGCTCTGGTCCTGTCTGGGTGACGGACCCCCACCTTGATGCTCTCGAGCCCAGTGGCCTCTGAGGCCAGGAAGGCTGGGCGCTGGGTCTCCAGTGGGAGGGGGCCTCCAGAAGGCAGAGGGGAGGCCGCCGACCCAGGCCCCGGGAGGTGGCAGAGAGCAGGGCCGGGCCGAGGGCTCCTGGTGGGCACGGGTCAGCCACGGAGCCCCGCTGTGCCCGGGGGCTGCGGGGACCACGGGCCTGTGCTGCACTCTCCCTGGGGTGGCCCCAGGTCGGGCTGAGCCTCCGTAGGGTCAGGTTTGGGTCCCGACCCGCCACCCTCGGCTGCAGGATCTCGGGGAGTGGACCCTACAGCCCCAGTCCCGCGAAGGCTGTGAGCCCCCGCTCAGCTGGACTCGTGTTCACTGCGGACCCACTGTCCCCCGGCCGCGGTCACTGCCGTGGCTGTTGTCCACACGGCACCGAGGAGGGCCGGCTCCGTGCCAGACCTCGTCACGGGAGGCAGGAGGGGCATCTGCCCGCGGGCTGCTCGGGGCCAGCTCCCTCTCCCCCACTGCTGGCTCAGCCGCCTCTGGGCGCCCCCTTAAGAACTGACCCAGAGCGGGGGGCCGTGGCGCAGGCCTCAGTCTCAGAGTCTCGGGAGGCTGAGGCAGGAGGATCACGAATTCAAAGCCAGCCTCAGCAACTTAGTAAGACCCTGTCTCAGAGAGAGAGAGAGAGAGAGAGAGAGAGAGAGAGAGAGAGAGAGAGAGAAGGAAGGGCTGGAGGTGTGGCCCCGTGGCTAAGCACCCTTGGGTTTGATTCCCGGTTCCCAGAAGTCAGTGCTGCGAGCCTCCTCTATGCGCCTCTGAGGAGGCTGCAGACCCACCCAGGCCTGGTGCAAGGCATCTGGGACGCGCCTCCAGAGGCTGGAGGGTGGACTTCGAACACCTGCTGGTGACCAAAGGCTGCATCAGCCAACCGGGGCCTGCAGCCTAGCGCACAAGCTGCAGGATCCCGAGTGGGGATTAGGCGCCAATGACACCAGCCCTGTGCTCTGATGAGGCTGACCTGGCCTCACTTCTGAAATCAGTCCTGAGATGCTGGTGCACCTCTGCAGGACTCAGACACTTGATTGTCACTGCTGCGAGACATTAGCCCTAAGGATCAGCCAGTCCAGAATCCCAACTCCAACTACCTGTACTGGCAAAGTCCACGGGCGTGCTAGCTTCAGGCATGGCTGGATCCAGGAACTCACTATTATATGGATTTGCTCTGACTCCATCTGCTTCTCTGCATTAGCTTCATTGTCCCTGCCTGGTGACAAGAGGGGCACCTGGGAGCTCCAGGTTGGCCATGCCAGCAGGAAGAACCCTTTCCCCTGTGAACTCTGAACCAAACTCCAGGCTGGTTTCCAGTCTAACTTGTGTGCCTGAGTCAGGAGCGTGGGGTGGTGGGCCATCCCCTGCCTGGGGAGTGCGTTTGCCGGTGTCCCGTGCGCTGTGGGACGGGTGGGCTGGGGATTCGTCGAGAAGCCTTTCCCTAAGTCGGAGAGGCAGATCTGGGAGCTGCCTCAAGGACAGTTGGAGCTCTGAGCAGCGGAGGGGATGGGAGCCCGCCTCCTGTGGACCCGGGACGAGGGCCCGGCCTCCCTGTGCTCTGCCTGCACAGACAGCACCCGGCCGAGAGCTCTGGCCTCCGGCTGCTGGGTGCTATTTCCAGCTGCAGTTCCTTCTGACACTAGATTTTTATTATTGTTTTCTTAATCCCCGAGTCCAGGCCCCTCACCTTATAGATGAGGAGACCGAGGTTCAGAGAGTCCCAGCTTTCCCAAGACCCACAGCTGGGAGGTGGAGGGTGGGACCAGCCAGGTCCTGCCCTGGCCGAGGGCCTGGTCCCTGCCGACTTCTCTGGCCTCGTCCCCCACAGGAAGTCCCTCAGCAGGAACTCAGTGAGGTCACGAACCCCCGCCAAGCCCCCCAGGACCTACAGCACGCTGCGCAAGGGCTCGGCCTGCCTGGACCCCCAGCCCCAGCAGGTGAAGAGGATCTTTGAAGCGCTGAAGAGGGGTCTCAGGTAAGTGGCAGCGGCTGCGCTCACTCCTGGCTGCTCCTGCCCCGGGCCCAGCTGTGTGCTCAGCCCTGCCCCAGGCTCTGGGGACCCCTGGGGAACAAGGCAGGAGGAGCCTGGTCCCAGGAYGCTCACGACAGAGGGGAGGTGACAGCGAGCCCATAGCCTGTGCCAGCCGTGTGCAGGGCGGAGGGGCTGGTCCTGGGAGGCTCCAGGAGGGCCGTGGCCTCAGGGGAGGATGTTCTGATCCTAGCTCCTCTCTGGGACCAGCGGCCCAGGCCAAGGGAACCGCACAAGCCAAGGCCCTGGGGTGGGAGCCTGTGCCCTGGGCGCAGCAGATGGGCGGCTGGATCCGAAGGTGGGGAGGGCGGTCCGAGGCCCCCCGGGGAGGCAGCTGCAAGCCTTTACTAACTGAAGCCTTGGGGGCGCCAGGCACTCGGGTGTGGTGACTCCCAGAGGGACAGACAGAGGCCATCAACAGCCCAGGAAGGGGAGATGCACGGTGCCAGGGGCATCAGGAGCTGTGAGGAGAGAGGGCAGGGCGGGCAGGCCCACCGTGCAGGGAGGCCCCGCCAAGAAGGTGGCTCTGAGCAGAGCCCACAGTGGCGAGGAGGTGGCCCCACAGATGGGAGGACATTCTAGGCCGGAGGAGGGAGTGCAAAGGCCCTGGGGTAGGGGGGCTGGGGCCGAGCAGACGGGGTGGGGGCGGCTCAGGGAGAGAGGGGGGTGGAGGGCAGTAGGGACCACAGCTCGGGGCCATGTGGGCTGCGTTGAGGCCTCTGGTGCTCCGCCTGCACCTGGGAGCCACGGAGAACCATGAGAGGAAGGACCCTGTGTGGCTCAGGCCTCGGTGGGACCCAGGCTGTGTGCGGAGGTGGCACCACAGAGGCCAGGAGGCAGGGGAGGCAGGGAGGCAGGGAGGCCGTGGGCTGGCCCAGGATGCGGCAGGGCAGAGGGACGGGAGCAGTTTCCAGACCCTTAGGAAGGGGGCTGACGGCGTGGGTGGGATGTGGGCATGGGGGGGTGGCCCAAGGGTGGCCCTGGGCACGGGTCTGAGCCTGGGCTCCAGAGGGGCAGAGCGGGGGTCCACCACCTCCGGAGGGCGCCTGTCCCCAGCTGCCTGGCAGTCCCAGCAGGCGCCAGGCCCCAGAGGCAGGGCCACCACCCCGTCACCGCACCTGGGGTGCTGGGAGGCGGTTCTGGAGTGCTGTCCCCAGATGCAGCCCCCCGCCCGCTGCTGGACAGACGAGGCTCGCTCCGCCCTGGGTCAGTGGCAGCCCAGCCCCACGGGGGCGGAGTCGGGGCCAGGGCCCTTCAGTGAAGTGGTTTTCGAGGCGTCCATCCTCAAAAACGCCACGTGCACTGGAAGCAGGGGACACGAGACGTGGCACAGGTGGCTTTGCGTGGCCCCTGGACCAGGGACTCCAGGAGAAATCAAGGGGCCTACGCTCTGGGCTTGGAGAGTGAGAGGACATGGGCCACGGGCCGGCAGGAGGAGGGTGGCCTTCCCCTGCGGGCCAGGCCTGTGGGTCCCTGCTGATGGGAGTGGGAGATGCCATGTGCATGGACATGGGGGTCCACCCGAGGGCTCATCCCTAAGGGCAGCTGCTGGTGTCCCCTCAGGACTACCTGCTGGAGACTTGTCCAGGGCCGGTGGTGCCTTCTTCCTGGGGAGCCCAATCCCTGAGCGAGCAGTGGTCTCCCAAAAGAAGTTGTTCCTTCCATGTTTGAGGTAGTGGAAGTGAGGCCCAGAGAGGGCAAGTGACCTTCCTAGGGCAACCCAGCAGACCTGTGATGGAGCAGGGTGGTCGCCATCCCAGTGCCCTCTGGCAGACCCCAGGTCTCCTGCTGCCACTCCCTCTGTGCTTTCCAGAGTGTGCAAAGGCCCCTGCCGTGTCCCYGTCCTGGGCATCCAGTTGGCAGGAAGGCCATGCTTGTCCGTAAAGGAGTGAGCGAGCTGGGCCCCAGGCCGGGAGGGGCGCACACAGGGCTGGAGAGTGTGGCCTCAGGAGGCCACGAGGTGGCTGCGGATCTCAGTCCAGCCTCCTCCCTGTGTGGTCCAGCCAGGCCACCAGCTGCCTGCAAGGCCAGTTTTCCTGTCTCCAAAGTGGGACCCCTGTGGCCGCAGCCGGGCCTCTCTGTGGGGTGGCCTCCTGAGACCCTCCTCCTGCCCTGGTGACCCCCAGCACCAGGGTGGCCTCTGAAGAGAGCGCAGCCCTCGGCACGGCCATGTTCTGCCCCCATGTTCTGGGTCCTCTCCATCCAGACCCTGCTTCCTCTCCGCAGGCAGCACCTGTGCGCGCAGCAGGCCGAGCTGGACCACCTGTGTGGACGCCACGCCGACGCCCGCAGGAACTCCAGGCTGGTGAGCGTGCCCTGCCCCGTCCAGCGTGGTCAGTCTGGGCATCGAGACTCAGGGGAGGGACGTTGGTTTCGGGGTGAGTTGACCTCATCTCAACGCGATGGACGTAACTGGGCAGCGCAGGCCTCTGGGCCACCTCCCCTGCTCTTGGCTCTGAAGGAACTTGGGCAGGCAGGGACCTGCAGGGCAGCTGTCCTGGGTGGTCCCACCTCACAGGCCCTGGACACTGGGTGCCCTGGGACCTGGAGGCTGACGTGACCAGGGACAGTGGACGTCTCTCTGGAGTGTCACAGTGGCCCCTGCTGTCCTCCGGGAGCCTGCAGATCTCCATGTCCAGGGCTGGCCAGGTTTCCTGCTGTCACCAGCAGTGGCTTTGAGGCAGGGCCCGGGCCTGTGCAGCCAGGGCCAGTGCCCACCCCGCTGCGGCCTGAGTCAGCAAAGAACAAAGGGACCAGGGAGCACGGGACAGCCCAGGAGGCCTGCTGGCTCTGCCCCAGACAGACAGACAGACGGCGAACACGGTCTAGTTAACTGTGTTCCATGGGACTTTGGGGACATTGACACTGAAGAGCCGCTCACTGTTTATGGCGAGTGTCAGTGCCCATGGTCCTGGCTGCGCCTGGGCACGGCCAGCTCCCACGGCTCGGGCCTCCACCCCGGGGAGGACCCTTTGGATGTGGGCTGGCCTCRGCTCCTCCCTTGACTGCCCGCGGGACCCACGCTTCCCGGACAGGCTCTGGAAACACGAGGAGGGGCCTGGCGGCTGTGGGAGTGCCATCTGGGCCCCTCCAAAGCGCTGACAAAGTGCAGAGCAGGCCTCCAGCCGAGTGAGGGGCAGCGGGTGGCAGGGAAGTGGGTTTTCCTATCAGAGGCCCACCAGGCCCCAAGTACCTACCCTGTGGCCTTCCCAGGAGGCGGGAACCCCAGGCTCTGCCTCTCCCAGGCCCCCTTTCACGTCCTGGCAATGGCTGGACCCTCCCTGGACACTCGGAGCTGAGCTTGCTGGGTCCCTGACTCCTAGCCCCCGGGGGGCAGGTGCTACTGATGCCCATTGGACTAGGAGGAAATGGAGGCTCAGAGAGGGCAGGTGCCCTGCCAGGACACACCGCTAGGGGCAGCAGCCAAGACTTAGAACTGCCTCCTCCGAAAGGCACATAGCCGCCACTCCTCCTGGGCCTGGTCAGTGACCAGTCCGCGGGCCACCGAGGCCAGCCTGGGCGGCTGCAGTCCTTGGCTTTCTGTCCTCCAAGCTCAGAGGCCCCTGCATGTGGCCTCTCGGGCCTTGAGGAGCGCTGGGCTCTGACCCCCGTTTGCTCCCCACAGGCCTTCTACTACGACCTGGACAAGGTAAGCCCCCGGGCGCTCAGCAGGGTGGACGACGCTGGGCGGTACCGAGAAGGCCTGGGCTGGCTGCCCCCGCTGCCCCCGCTGCCCGAGATGAGCACCTGGTCTCCTCCCACTTTACAAATGGGCAGACTGAGGCCAGGGTGAGCCTCCCCCAGGGCTGGCGGGGGCTGGCGTCACCCTGCTCCCGGTGTCAGGCCCTGGAGGAGGGTGGCGGGTGGCAGGCGCCCAGGCCACTCAACAGACCTGTCTTTCCCCGGGATAAGCAAACGCGCTGCGTGGAGAGGCACATCCGCAAGATGGAGTTCCACATCAGCAAGGTCAGCCCCCAGGGGTCCAGGGCGGGCGGCCTCGGCAGGCCAGAGGGAGCTGGGAGCCCTCTGGGCAGGGCAAGGTTCCCTGGCGCTGGGCAGCGGGAGGGAGGKGAGGATGAGCAGAGGCGGCTGGTGAGTGCAGGTGACTCCTGGCCGGGGCATGTCCCAGGGCCGCGGGGTCTCTGGCCTGAGGGGGTGTAAGAGGGCGGCCAGGCCCCAGGACTGGGGGCTCATGCTGCACCCCAGAGGACTGGGGGGCGGGGCTCGGCACCCTGAGAGCCCGGGGGAAAGCCGAGGCCCTGAGAAGGAGGACTGGTTCGTCCCTGAGGCTTCACTGCGGCTCGTGCTCCCTGTGGTGACCTTTGTCCCCTGGGACCCCCGTGGCCATCACAAGCCCCCTCCCGTCTTGGAGCTGAAAAACCAGGCTGAGAGGCGGAAGTGATGCACCCCTTGGTCCACTTCACTCGTTTCTTATTGTGCACTGACTGTATACAGTCACCACCAGGTGCTGGGGTACGGAGCCCGGGGTGGCCGCTGCCCCGGGCCACCCTGGGTGCTGGCTGGGTGCCCTGCTGGCAGTGGTGTGGGGCTGGCCGGGAGCCGTGCCCACTGGTGTGCCCCTCAGGTGGAGGAGCTCTACGAGGGCTACTGTGTCCAGTGCCGCCTGCGCGACGGGGCTGCCAACATGCAGCGCGCCTTCGCCAGGTGCCCGCCCAGCCGCGCCTCCCGCGAGAGCCTGCAGGAGCTGGGCCGCAGCCTGCACGMGTGCGCCGAGGTGGGCGAGCGCTCTGGCTGCAGGGACAGTGGCGTCCCCTGGGGTGGGTGTGGCTGGGCGAGTGGCTGAGCTCCCACGGGGCTTTTCAGGACATGTGGCTCATCGAGGGGGCGCTGGAGGTCCACCTGGGCGAGTTCCACGTCAGGATGAAAGGTGACGGCTGACAGCAGTGGCCGGGGGCCAGCGTGGGCGGCTCAGGTCCTCTTGGGGCCCCTGGGGGCCGAGCAGCGTTGGCCACAGCCCCAGGGCAGGCCCACCTCTGGGTTTCACGCTGGAGGGACATGAGACGTGGAAAGCCTCACTCCCCTGGGCCTCTCTGTGGGGTCCCAGGACCCCCCCCCCCCCGTTGCCCCGATGCTGATGTGCCCCCAGGGCGGGGCAGGCGTGCAGCGGCCCATTTCTGTGTTCCAGGCCTGGTGGGCTTTGCGCGCCTCTGCCCAGGAGACCACTATGAGGTATGGCCACCGCCGGAGGTCAGTCCTCAGGGTCCAGCCAGCCTTTGCGGGTGGGGGCTGCTGGGAGCCAGGGTCCTAGCTGAGGTCCTGTCTGGGAGGGAGCCCTCAGGGGGCTGGGGACCCTGGGCCGCCAGCACACCTCCTGCGCCCACTGCAGGTGCTTATCCGCCTGGGCGGCCAGCGCTGGAGGCTGAAGGGCCGGATCGAGCCGGACGACAGCCAGACGTGGGACCAGGAGGAGAAGGCCTTCGTCCCCACCCTGCACGAGAACTTGGAGATCAAGGTGGGATGGCGCCTGGGCCTGGGGCGGGGCCAGGGCGCCCCGGGTGCTCGCTCGGACACCACCCTCCAGTCCCCGCTCCCAGGTGACAGAGCTTCGCGGCCTGAGCTCGCTGGTGGTGGGCTCCGTGACCTGCGACATCGCAGACTTCTTCACGACGCAGCCGCAGACGGTGGTGGTGGACATCACAGAGCTGGGCACCATCAAGCTGCAGCTGGAGGTGCTGTGGAAGTGAGTGGCAGCTCCCTGCGCCAGCCCCGCGTCCCCAGGGCCACCCCCAGATCCCAGGGGCCAAGAGACTCCGACAGCGCTCCCTAGTGGCCGGACCACACCCCGGGCCTGGCTCTGGCCGCATGGTCCCCAAGGATGTCCCTGCCCTGACCACTCTCGCCTCCCGCCCCATTGAAAGGCCAGGCCCAGGCCTTCCCCACGGCCCTGCCCACCCCAGCTACCCTGAGTTTGAGCCCAGCCTCACTTTGGCCCAGGGGACGGCTCTGCCCTGGGCTGGCCAGGGGGCTTTCCAGCGGCCTCCTGAGCTTGGCTCCTTGGAGGAGGCTGGCCTCTGCCCAGGAAGGCCTCTGGCTGCACCTGCCTCCTGGTTCCGGGGTGACCCCAGGGCCACAGACCTGCGAGATGCATGTTCATGAGAAGGACCTTGTGGGTGGGGATTCTCATCCTGCACCACGTCCACTGACCTCTGGGGGTCCCCAGAGGCTTCGCACTGTGGACAGAAAAGCTTTTTTTTTTCCCCCCCAAATGAAAACTTGTGTTTCCAGAGAATTCCCTCCTTATCCCCCAGGGCAGGGGCCACGGTGTGAAGGGTTGGGGACCTCACCGGGGGAACCCCTCTAGCATATGCGGGGGTAACTGCTCCCCACTGTCCAGCCCCAGGCCAGCCATCCAAGGACCCCGCGTCCCGGGGGCCTGCAGGGCTGGGCAGGTGGCTGGCAGACAGGCTGCCCGAGGAGGTTCCCGCAGCGCCCTGGCCACAGGCCTCATGGCTGGGCCGGCCTTTGTGTGCCCAGCTGCAGGCTGAGTCTGGACGTGGGGAGCGCCCACCGCCTCCATCCCTCAGCCCAGCCCAGCGCAGAGGTGTGTGTAGCGAGCTCAGTTTTAGGTGATCTTCAAGGCTCTGGGTGAATTCAGTCCTGTCCCTTCCCGTCAGGGGTGGCACTGGCCTAAACAGGTGGCTTACCTGGGAGTTCAGTCCCCCCATGCACAAGTCCCAGCCACGGAGGGCTGTCCTGGAGGGGAAGGAAGGGTGGCGGGGCCGGCGGCGCCCACCCTGCTCAGGCTATCACTGATGAAGGTGCGGGCCCGGAACTTGGCCCCGGCAGCTCCTGCACTGGGGGGACCCGGAAGCGGTGACACCCAGCCTCTGCTCTCCCTCCAGCCCATTTGACTCTGAGAGCCTCCTGGTGTCACCCAGCCCCACGGGCAAGTTTTCCCTGGGCAGCAGGAAGGGCTCCTTGCACAACTGGACACCCCCAAGCACCCCCAGCTTCCGGGAGAGGTACTACCTGGTGAGTGACCTTCTCCCCAGGGCGGGGACACTGGTCACTGGGGGGACAGGAAGTGGGGGCTGGGCTGAGCTCCCGGCACTCCCAGGGTGGCCCTCTTTGGCTCGGCCTTGCTTTGGGGTTCACCTGGGTGCTGGGCGTCCTCTGCGTCCTCTGCTGCTGGCCCTGGGGGTGGCCCTGAGTCGGCCAGTTCTGAACGGCCCCCTGGGGGCCTCCTCCTGCCTGGCCTTGGCTCTGGCCTCCGCTCTGTCCTGTCAGTGCGTTTCCGGGAGCACCGCCTGAAAGACGCAGCAGAGCGTCTCTTCTCCAGGGACCAGGTCCCCTCCGAGTCCCTTCTGTGTCCTCCCAGGGACGCTTCCCTCTGTGAGCGCGGCTTAGTCCCCTCCTGACTCCGCAGCTGCCCTCCCCGCGCCGTCCTCGAGGGGCTTCTTTCTGCCCCCAGCGGCTCCCTCTTGCTCCGCTCGCCCACGCCGCGGGCCCAGGCCCCAGGCCCGACTGTGCTTCCTTCAACAAGACACGGGGCCACTTAGTCTCACGCAGTGGCCAGCTGCAGGGCAGTGTGTGACCCTGGACATGCATCCTTCTTCAGAAACGCCTGCATCTCCCGAAGCCTGAGCCCTGGCCAGGGTCCTGAGGTGCCAAGGCGCTCGTCCCCTCCTTGGGTGTGGCACTGGCACGTGGAGGCTCGTGTACTGGGGACACCAGAGCCCTTCCCAACAAGGAGCCCCAAGTTTGGAGACTGAGCAGGACGAGCCTTCTGTGGCCCTCCTCGAGTGGGGGGTGGCTCCCTGTGGGCCAGGGAGCTGGGWTAAGGCCACCTGTGGTGACGAGCCTGCACTCTGCAGACCTGGGTGTGACCTTGGCGTCACTAGGCCTCTTAGCCCTCAGTTCCCGTATCAGAGCAATGAGACTGACCGTGCCACCCTCCGGGGACACGGTGAAGGTTTGCACGGAGTGACACGAGGCCTGGGGCAGGCAGGTACGCACACTCTGCCTAGTGACAGCTGCTGCCACTGCTGTGACAATGTGTGTCACTCAGGCCCTCTGTCCATCTGTCCATCTGTCCACTTCACTCATTCAAACCTCCACACCACGTTCTGCTCTTGGCCAGGGGAGGGCTGTCCTCCATGGGGAGACTCGGTGTCAGGATGAGGGCCACTTGCCACCTGAGGGGCACAGAGACCTCGGAAAACAGAAGGAGAGGGGCTGCTGGGCAGGCGGGGGGACCGCAGGGAACAGGGCACGGAGGGACAGGCTCCAGGAAGGTGACCCTGAACAAGCGCCCGAGGAGTGCATGGGAAGGGTGCCGGGCAGGGGCAGGGGCAGGGGCAGGGCCCAGTGTGGGCCCCGGAAGCCGGCACCTGGCGGACCCGCCTCCTGAGCTCGGGGGGCAGAGCGGGTGTCGGGGCCTGGCCGGGGCGGGCGGCGGGTGAGGCTGCCGTGTCCCTCCCAGTCTGTCCTGCAGCAGCCAGCGCAGCCGGCGTTGCTGCTGGGCAGGCCAAGGGCCCCCTCCATCCTCAGCTACCTGTCCGAGAGTGACCTCCAGGGCCYCAGCCTGCGCAGCCGGAGCCAGGAGCTGCCAGAGATGGACTCCTTCAGCTCCGAGGAGCCCCGGGACGCCGAGACCAGCAGGTCGGCCTCTACCCCGGATGTGGGGCTCCTGCCCTCGGCCGTTGACCCTGCCGCCGCCACTGAAGAGGAGGCCCCAAAGGGCCCCCCGCCCCTGGGCCTGCTGCCGGAGATGGCCCACCTGGCGGGGGCCTGGCCTGCGGAGCAGCCTGGCTGCAGGAGCCGGGGAGCAGGGAGCCCCAACCCGCCCCAGGGCCCCCTGACCCACAGCTGCCCGCTCCCGAGCAGCCGGGAGGACCAGGACGAAGGAGAAGCTGGGGCTGCCATGGACGGGCCTGCCGTGGCCCCCGAGAGGCCCCTGCACGAGGTCCTGGAGTTACTGAGGTCCACGGGCCCTGGCCAGCCCCAGCTCCGGGAGCTCGAGTACCAGGTCCTCGGCTTCAGGGACCGGCTGAAGGTACGGCCATGTTCCTCGGGGCAGCAGCCCTGCGCTGCTGATGGCCCGGCCACTGGGCATGGGCCCTGGGGCCACCGGGCCAGGGCAGGCCTCCTGGCCGCATCCCAGCACGACCTGGGTAGACGGCGTCTCTGTGGGCCTCGGCGTCCTCCTGTCAAGTGGGGACGAGAGCCCTCACGGGGCCAGGAGGAGCACCACGAGGGGGGCCGGGGCTCACGGAGGACGCCTGTCCCACTCAGCCAGAACCCGGCCCTTCCGCGAGTCTCCTGACCTGGGCGGCAGAGGGGGCTGCAGCTGGTGTTGAGAGCCACACGTGGGTCTCACTGGCCCCTGGAAGGCCCGAGCCACCTGCTGCCTCCCCACGCGCCCCACCAGAACCTTCCGCACACGGCTAGGCCAGCGCCTCCGTTCACAGGAGGGCTCAGGGTCGGTGGCTCTGAGAGGGGCTCGCCTGCACAGACAACTCTACTTTTCATTTACATAAGCCCAAAATGTACCTAAAATAAAATGAACATGTCACCAGCACTTTCTCACACAGCAGTTAACCTACAACCCACTCCCTGTGGGACACTTTGGCACTGAACCGCCAACAGCTCTCTTCAAAAGTCCATCTTTTTGGCTGTATTGTCACCTGCCCTAACATCACCCATCAGCACAGGAGGTGGAAGTCCTCATTTATACCAGTAACTTAAAAAAAAATGTTCATGCTTATCACTGCTACAGGCTTTAAAAAGTACCTTCCTGAAATTTTTGAGAAAAAGTTTCAAGAAATAATGTCACTTTTTTTTGTATTTTTGAAGTCTGTGTGGGACAGTTTGAGTCAACGCGCACACAACTTCCTTCACATACGGGTAATTTGAAAAATGACACCCACTTAACACACAAGTCTTAAAATACGGCCACAAGCAATAATTCAGAACATCTTTAAGGAACATTTCCCTTTATTTTGAGAATGATAAAAATACCCCTAGGTCCTGGTTTCCAGGGGCTTCCTGAACAGAAATGGCACGTGTGCCCCGCGCAGCCGTGCACCATGAGCGGGCATCGTGCACGAGCACGCAGGTGACCCGAGCCACCGTGGACCTGCATTTGCTGCTTGCTAAGATTCACTTGTGACCCTGGAACCAGCCCGAGGCGCCTGCACGGTCACTTTCAAGGATGTTCAGGTGGCGGGGTGGAGGTCAGGCCAGGCGACGGCGGCCCTGCTTCTGCTCCTTAGCCCCGTCATGCTCACGGTCTGTCGGTGCCACGTTTTTCATATTTTTGTGCTTTTTGTCAGGGGCTGTGGTTAAGTGGCCCTGAGAGCGTAGCTGTGGGGCTGGCCGGGTCCTGGCTGGGGTCCCGGGAGCTGCCCTCCGCAGGGGCAGGGTGCTGTGGGCTGGAGCTCAGGGCTGAGCGGCAGCACCTTCACACGAGGGTCTTCAACGCGTCTCCTCTGTGGCTGGGGGAGCTGCTGGAAGGGGCTTGCAGGGGCCCAACCCTGGCCCCCACGGCCCTGCTGGGTTCACGGGTTCTGGTTCTTGCTGTGACTTCCTGGAGAGTCCACTGCGTGCGTGTCTCCACACACACATGCACACACACACACACACACACA